GCTGTCTTCGAGCAGCCCACGTTCCCGCCACCACCCCTTCCCGTAACTCACGCAAATCTCCTCCCCTTTCCGGATCCCGATCGCCGGTTTGGCCAACACATACACGCCCATCCGCAGCACTCCATGCGCGTCGACGCGTTCGCGAAACTCGGCGTTCGGGCCCAACGTCATGCGCCCATTCGCACCACCAGCCCCATTGGCGCGACTCGGAATCCCGCGGTAGTCGTTGATGAACCGCGCCTCGTTCCCGGCCGCCTCGGCGTCCACGCACGCGTCGCGCGACAGTGTCAGCACGTAGTCGGAGGTGGCCGAATAGCTAGAGTTGGCGTACACGACCCCAATGTAGTCCAAAATGTGGGTGCCGGGCTTCAAAGGTTTGGCGGCAAACAGGCCGCGGTACGGGTACGCCGGGTGGGTTGGGTCTATTTCTGTTTGTTAATCGCGAGGTACGCGTGTATGGAATATATAAAGTGAAATGTACCTTCGAGGAACCGTACTACCACGTTGCCCGAGATGGGAGGGGGTGCGCTTTTGCTTATGACGCGTGGAGGGACCATGGGCGAGTCGCCGAGCACGGACCGGCGCACGTCGGTGGGCACGTGCGAATCAAACTCGTAGTCGGTCAGGTACCGTACATTGGTGGGCCAGGAGGGGCCTCTTTGCTGGGCAACAGGTGCGGTTGTTGTTGGCTCTATTGGACGCGTCCTCGATGGTGCTAGTGCTTGCGCTCGTTTTTTGGCCATTGGTGTTTGATTTGAGTTTTGGGAAAAGAATCCGAGTTGTGATGCCATTTCCCACGGAGCTCTTTAATACTTTTCTATTCTGCTCCATATATACGCTAATTATCTGGATCGGCGTAGACCACGGACGCCATACATACCTGGAGGACGAAACCCGACTTTATATTTGGTGCTGGTAACGACAAGAGAACAGGAAAAAACTACTGCGTTTGCACGGATCGGATCCAACACGCGCATACACTTCCAGTAAAATTAACAAATTGCTCTGGCTCTATTTGGAGAAACCCGCACGCATATTCACGCAAACGACACACACGCACGCAACGTGCCCGTAGCCGATTGCAGATCCTTGTTAAAATTGGCCTTGACCTTGCGAACTGTCCTGGGCCGGGAACTTTCTCAATGACCACACCTGCAGCTGCCGCCGCACCCACTGCGTCGATGGCACCACCAAAGCGTATGCCCATAAGTTTACATTCATATTTCATTGGAAATTCATTCCCAAAGCAACAAAAAAAAATGCAGCCAAAGGCGAAGCCGCCGCTCTCAAACACTATGAGCAAACAACGCAAGCCATGGCCCTAAAAGACCGGCGGAAACCGCCAGTGTCCAAGCGCAAGCCCATGCGATCCCTGAACCCGAACGAAGTGGTGATTCCCGATGGGTTACGTCCTGACGAAAAGGATAAGCTGTTACAGGAAATCAAGGTATGCATTTTACCCTTTACAATTGATCTTGATTCTTGGGACTCACTTGTAAAGTAATTAAAGAAAAAATGGCAAGCCGATTTCGGCCAACGGATCCGGTACGAGGAATCCAACCGCGCGCTCCGCGAGCAAGTGACAAAGCTGACGTCGCGGCTCGAGGAGCTCGACGGCGGTGGCAGCGGCGTCACTGGGCACCATCCTCCACATCCCCGTGACGAAGTCGACGAATTCGCGCTCTCGGGCCCAATACCAGGTGCGGTTGCTGGCTCGAAAGTACGCACCCGTCGGTCTGATGCCGAGTGGGCCAAGCTACGTGCTGCCGCGGTCGCGGGCCGCAAGAATAAGCCGGTTGGACCCGGTGGAGGCGCGGGGGCCGCGGGCACGTCCACGGGCGTGGTGGGCCTCAATGGGGCCGCGGGAGCACTGAGCGAGGACGCGACGTTGCGGCAGACCAATATCATTGTGGTCTTGACTCGACGCAACAAGGAATTGGTTGCCGAGCGTAAAAAGGCCGAGGAAATGTTGCACTTGAAGACGGTACGTACCCATTTTGCTGTTTCATTCCACGGTTCTCATTCGTAAGGAATAAAAGGTCCAAGCCGAGACCGAGGGCCGCAGGGCCGACAAGCTCGAGTCGCTGTTGGAAGCCGAGCGCGTGAAAGCCACGCGCGACCGCGTCAAGCTCGAGCAGGCGATCGCGGACTCGGCCCGCGCCAAAGCCACCGTGGACGAGCACGTACGCGAGCTCGAGCACCAGCTCGAACATGCGGGACGCGTCCGGATTGCACTCGAGCACCAGGTGGGCGGGTTGCGCGAGAAACTGGACTCGCTCATGGTCGATTACTCGGACGTGGTGACGGATTTGTACGTTTTCTTTTCCCAATATTGTGAAATTTTGGTATTGACTGGGAATCATATAGGCCGGACGAGGACGGATTCAATGTCCCGACAGCGGCGGCGCGAAAGAAGGCGTCGACTAACGATCCAAATGACAGCGAAGGTACACTATTCCAAGAATTTGATCTTGTATTTTTGGGGTGCAGTGTACTCACTGCTATATAAAATACAGAGGAAAAGCTGCGCCAGGCCCGGCTCACGCTCGAGTACGAGACGTGGGTGAGCAAGAAAAAGGAGCAGGCGGCCCATGCGCACCCAGGAATGGTTCCGCGGTCGCGAGCACCCACCAAGGATCACCCCGGTGCTGATGAGACATCTCCACCTCCTGTTACGGGTGCTCCTTCTCCTGTGAACGGAGATGCAGATGCCGCGCGCGATGCACCCAACGGATCGCATCCCGCCGCCAAACCGCATCACCCAGCCGCTGGATCGCATCACCCAGTTGCTGGATTGCATCACTCAGACGGGACCGAAACAACTAGGCCTCGTAAAAAGACAGTCGGCGGCACCTCCAAGCCAGTAGCGCACCCCGATCCGGCGGCGGCGAAAAAGAAGGAACAAGAGGCCGCGCGCCAAGAGGCCGAGCACATGGCCAAGCTGCAGCAGGAGGAAGAGGAGCACGAGCGCGAGCGGGCAAAGCGCGCCGAGGAAGAGATTGCACGGCAGCAGGCCGAGATGGAGGCGCAGCAGGCCGAGGAGGAGCGGGTGCGCGCCGAACAAGAGGCGGCGGCGTTGGAGGCGGCGGCCAAGGCGCGGGAAGAGGAGGAGGCGGCCAGCAAAAAGTGGGGCAAGAAGAAGAAGAAGTGATCGGCGGAGTACACACTTACGGTGCAGCAAAATAGAAAAATTATTTATACGCGACCGGTATGGTTGTCGGTCGATTAATGGTGTTTGTGTTCACCACAGACAACGTCGGTGTAGTACAACGGTTAGTACATCCCACTCACATTACTTTGGAATTATCGGGAAAATGGCTGGTTCGATTCCGCCCTCTGACAACAATTTTTGGATGTCATGTTCTGACTTTGCCGTTTTTTTGTTCTCTTTGCCGCACGAAACATTAAGGATGTCTACATTCGCGCTCAACATGCATATTGAGGCGGAGCAGATCAAGCAGGCCGTGCTCCAGGCCACCGTCAACCTCGGCATCGTGCTCATGTGCACCGTGGTGTACCTCAACTATGTGCTGTTGCAGCCGTACATCCGACCGCTTTTCTGTATGCTTTTTCATACCTTCACAACGAACCAATCCCAAAATAAACCTAATATAAAATAAATAAAAAGGGTCGGTGGTGTTCTCGGTGCCCTTGCACGCCATCAAGAACGAGATTCTGATCGTAACCGTGGACTCGGTCATGGACAATGAGCATGGTTTATCGGTCGCGCGCGTGTTCTGGCTGGGCCTCAAGCTCTTTCTGCGCCTGTGCTTTGGCGACCTGTACCGCCTGGTATCGTACCTGCTGCGATCGTACTTGGCCCTAGTGGCACGAATTTCGGCTCCCACGCCCGTCGTTGCCCCCGCAACCACATCGTCCCCTTCGGCCGCTCGCAAGCGATGGGCTCTGGCCACAAAGACTGCCGTTGGTGGTAGTGGTAGTGGAACCGGCATTGGTCGCCGGTCCACCTCTGCGCCACCGCCGAACGGCACTGACGATGATCAGGAGGATCCCATTCGTGGGACCGACATTGTGACCAGTAGCGGTACCGCTTCGGGCACCAACCTACACCCGCTGCCGACGACGCGTGCGTCGCTATTGATGCGCCGCAACACCTCACGCACCGACCGCCCGCTGTCGTGGGCCGGGTCCAACTTCCCCGACCCGCTCGTCATGTGGCTCACGTCGTCGGTGTCGGCCGTGTACCCGGGCTTTGCTTCTGGCACTGGTGGTGGTCAGACACCCACCAACTCGCCGATGCCGGTCGATCGTGCGCCTCAGCTGCCAGTGCCGGACCATCATGGACCTGGGTCGTGGAGCGCTTCCGCCAACGCCACCACCATCGATGATCCGTCTACAAGACGCCGAGGCCGGAGTGCCTTCAGTCCCGCCGTCGTCATTACGGGCGCCGCGTCATATCATTCGGACGTCGAAATGGACGCGCACCCGCCGGCAGTGGTTGCCAGTCCCACTGTGCGCCAACGGTCGCGGTCGCCCGCGGCGGTGGCCGCGCACCACCCATTCAATGTGTTGCGCCGTAAACCATTCACGGCGTCGCTGGATTCGATCGCGGGCCTGATGTCGTCTGCTTCTTCGTCATCTGCACCACCGCCTTCCGACGAAAATACACCAATGCCCACGGTGGTCCCAATGCCCGTGCCCATGCCCGTGGCGGTCCCTATGGTACCAACAACAACTGATTCAATGTACCCACCCATGCCCGTGACGCCAAAGTCCGCCATCACCTCGTCGATGCCGTCGCTGCTAGTGACTGACGCGGCAACGTCGGGGTCCCCACAGAGCAGTAGTGGTGGCGAGCAACAACAGCACGGGTCGCCCTTGACGACAGCCTCGGTAAGCAAGCCGCGCCGCGGGTCCGCGGGCGTCAGCAGCTCCGACCACCCTCCGCGGCTCGGGTCGACCGACAGCGCGTCGAGTTCCTCGACATCCGGCACATCGTCGCAGCACCGGTCGCACCGCGCGCACTCGCGCCACCAACACCAGCAGCACCGGTCGGGCGGGTTGCGTCCGGGGACTGGCGTGTTGGCAGCAGCGCTCTCGCGCGAGGCGTCGCCTGCTCGCAGCAAACCAGCCGGGGTTCCTCCGCCGCCACTTGCCATGCCCAAGTCCGATTACGAGGCCGGGCTGTTGGGCGCGGTTCCCGAATACCCCGCGGCGTCAGCGGTAGCGGCAGTAGCTCAGCAGCAGATGAACGCAGCACCCACGTTGGATACTGATTCGGGCACATTCTACCTGACGCTGGTGTGGCGGCTGTCGTGTCTGTACCTGATCTACTGCGCGTGGGCGGCGCTGCACCCGGCCAACCGGTTAGCGCTGGCGGCGGTCGCCGCGGCGTGCGCAACGTTGCATGTGGCCGCGCACGTGTGGCTGCGCATTTACCGCGTGCATCTGCGAGCGAGCGCACGCAAAGCGTGGTTCACGCTGTGCGCGCACATGCACCCGCTCGACATGGTGGTAGCCACCGCCGCCCACAAGACCGTGGCGGTGACGGTCGGATTGGGCATGCGGTGGGTCCGCCGCAAGTACAAGACGGGCAAGTCGGGCGCGAAAGAAGTGCTGGCCAATAACGCCAACTCGTTTGCGGCGCTATTTGTGCTCACGTCGGTGCTCACGATCGGGCTCCTGCTGACGGCGTTCATTGGGTTCAAGATTGTACAGGAAACCAGTATGGTAGTGGACGCGTCGGTGCGGGGGATCGAGGGACAGCTGTCGGACGACATGCGCGAGCAGTTCCAGTCAGCACTCAACGAAGGGTACACTATGGCCATGGGATGGATCGATGCCAAGGTCAGCGAGCACTTCCCACAGGCCAACATCACGGGAATGTACTCGCGGCTGTCGCGGTCGTTTACGTTGCCCGCCAACGGGTCCCTTGCGATGCATACCATGTCCACCACAACTTTGTTGGGCGGCGGGCTCACCAAGGACCCGGCATCGGTGGGGTTGGCCAACGAGCTTGCGATTCTGACGCGCATGCCGCACATTGCGCAGCTGCTGGCAGCGCTGATGGCCGGCAATTTCGGTATTCTGAGCGACCGCGCTTTACTTTCCGGCATTCTCAGCGAAGTCAAGGACTCGTCGTCGACGCTCATCACCACCGTCAGCTCGCTGGTCAAGGACTCGTCGGCCGCCACCGGGTACGCGAGCATGGTGCTCGGGTCGCTGGGCACGTTCGGCGTCACGGTCCTGGTGTCGTCGATGCAGTACCTGCTGGACTTCTTTGACCTGATCTTCCAAATCGTGCTGTTCTTGGTGACCTTACACGCGCTGCTGTCGCGCGAGACCGCCATCACCACGTGGTTCGCACAGGTCCTGATCCTGGCCGACCCGGACATGGAGCTGACCCGCGGGCTCGAGGACAATATCATCAGCGTGCTCGCATGCACCACCAAGATGACGGCGTTCCACTCGATGCTCACGTGGCTCACGTTCTCGGCATGGGGCGTCGACCTCGTCTACGTGTCGGTGTTCTTGACCGCAGCTTTGACAGTGATTCCGGTCATTCCGCCGTTCTGGTTGGCGGTCCCCGCCGCATTCTCGCTGTACTGGCTGCAGTCGCGGTTCTGGGCCGCCGTGTCGTTGCTGGTGATTCACGTGTACGCCGGCATGTTCATTGACTCGTCGTTTTTCGCGGAAATCACTGACGTGAGCCCGGCATTTTCGGCACTCGCGTTCATTTTGGGGCTGTATGCGTTTGGGCTCGAGGGACTGGTGCTGGGCCCACTGCTCATGTCGGTCATTCCCACCGTGTTTTCTATTGTGTCAGCCAAGCTCGCGCTTCCCGGATCGCCGTGATTTGCTTCTTTGCTTATTTATCTAAATGTACCAACAATACAAAATGCACTTGTTTGACTTGCCTGACGACTTGCACGCCGTTCTCGGCCTGTTTTTACCAACAGAAGCAGTGGTCGTTCTCCGATCCACATGCCGGGTGCTCTGGCACTCGCACTTATTACTGACGCACCACCCACTCCTGAATGCTCTCGACGCTGTAGCTCGCGGCGATATTGAGCGTCTTCGTGTATTCCACCAAATCTACCCGCAGCTGGTGGAACGACTGGTCCGGTGCAGCGCACTGACTGCCGACCGCTGTGCAATGATACGCGCGGCAAACTTGCCCGGTCGCGACCCGACCTTTGACGCTCGTGCGATCGCGACGGTGGCGAAAGCCGACAAGCCGGAGATGCTTCCGCTCGTACTATCCTTGTATACTTCCTCGTCGGAACTAGAAATGGATGACGCGTGGAGACCGGGGGTCCCTGAAGTGCACCGGTTGGCCCATACGCACGAGAAGATGGTGAAATGCATTGATATGCCACCAGGGGTATGTGAAAGGTTCGCAAACACGTACCAGCCGTTCGAGCACGCGTTTCGGGCCATTTTGGACCTGACAGCGACGAATGGTGCCGTGGATGCGGCGGCAGTCCTTGATGGCCTGAATTTCGTATGTGCTGCCCTGAATGTGAGCTGGAATGGTACGCAATATATTTACATACATCTTGCCCTCTCTGGCCCTTCCTCAAATCGAACCGTATAATTTTTTTTAGGGCTTTTGAAGTGCCATATCCTGCCGGCGGTAGTCGCGCTCATGTCCGATCCGCGGGACGAGGTCTCGGCCAGAGCTTCTCAAGTCATCCGCCTGGGACTGAATACGTTACACCAGGGCCTGATCGCCACCGAAATTCTTCCAGCGCTGGTCGCTCTGGTGCCGCAACTTCCGACCAATACCGCTGCAGGAAAAACATGGCCCGGGTGCTTATTGGACATGCTGATCGACTTGGCCAACTTGAATTGGACCGGGTACCGCGACCGCATGATCGAAAAGGGCGTCGTCGGGGCCTTGGTAGTCCTCGTTCATGACAACACTCGGCCACCACCGGCGTACTTGACACGCGCTGCCCGGCTGCTGGCCCAGTTATCGATTGACTGGAACCCAAAGTACAACCGGCAGCTGGACGTTCTGGTGCCGGCACTGATCCGACTGACGCATCGGTCGCCTGGAACGACGGTTCTCGCGGCCGCCGACGGACTGCAGAACTTGGCCCGGACCATGGACCCGGGCGCGTTGCATCGAATGGTGGACCTTGGCGCCATTGTTGCGCTCGTGGCCCAGCTTCATCAACGCCAGGGAAACGGCGACCAGGACGACGACATGCCCGCTCGGATCCGAGGGTCGGTACTGGTGGCGCTGACATATTTCTCCTTGGCCGGCGATGCCATGTGCGACGCGGTGGTGGCAACCGCGGGGATATGGGACGCGGCGACCGCCGTCCTGGTGCAGGTGACCGATTCGGTAGCAGTGTGCCAGTGCTTGGCTCTTC